CATTGATGTTAGACAATGATCCAAACAAAGGAGAGGAGGTGCTTGCATGGGCACCAGTTGCTAATAAAGAGCTTATTAGATAACCGCATGATTATGATAGCTAACAAAGAACAATGTAGATATCCTCATGATTGTAAGGATTGCTAACAAAGAACGATGTAAATTGTTTCAATATGTAGAAGCATAAATTTGGAAACAAAGAGTCCGAAGTATAAGCATTATTTGCGGAAATTACGTAGATATCTTTACTACAATTTGCAACTCATATTTTTAGATCGCGATATTAAAATCCGCGACAATGTTCAACACTCAATAATTTAGACGGTTAATAACGTGTCTCTGAATAGTAACTTTATATGAATGCGTAAAACACGTATACAGTTTTAATGAATATACAAAAGCATGTATGAATGTCTTTTGTAACCAAGTCAATAAATACTATAAATGAGTAATCCATTCCCAGAATTGAAATTAATTAAATTACTTAAATGAACTAATAGTTAAGCTAACATTGATCAATTTAATTTCTATATTCAAAATGAAAACAAAATCTTTTACTTAATCGACTATGTTAGTATGTAAATGCAATTTAGTACTACTAGTAAAAGTAGTAGTAGGCTTTTTCACTCAAACTTAGCCTTAACTGAATTAATTTTTCTCATTATCTACTGCACTATTTCAACTAACAAGCAACAAAATACTAAGTGATGTCATCCATTTAGCACCAATTTTCTTCCAACATTGAACAAACAATTTTGGCACAATAAAATGAGCCTAAATGTTGGCGCAATCTGAACAAAAGCAACAAGCAATCTTTTCATCTTTATCCTTGCAATCAATCAGTCATCATCTCTCTCTCCAATAATAGAAACGTCACCTCATTTATTACCACCATCCATTCATCTGCTATTTCTCCGCTTGTGTGAGTGCAAGCTAATATGTCTGGGAGTATGCATGTGCGTGGACGACGGACACACATGTATGTATGCGCGTGGGCGTGCACATGCACATGCCACACGCATTGCATGCATGCACGCATTAGCAATTCGATGTAAAAGGAAGTGAGATGAGATGAGATAACTGGACTGATTGGCTCGCAGCTGTCGAGCAGACTGTCAAGTTTCACAGGCCGCCAGCTGCCCGTAAATTATGCACACGACAGCCGCTATGGCTCGTAGCGTTCGCTCTTTGTAGGGTTATTACCGATTGAAAGAATTTAATGTCGTTCTTTTCCCTCTCTCTCTCTCCCTCTCTCCCTCTTTCTTTTTTTTCCCTTTTCTTTTAATCTTTTCCCCTGTATTTCTCCCTGTCTATTATATGTCATTCTTCCTATTAATACAATTTTTCCAGTCATGAAATTGTCTTTTTTGAAAATTTGCTCTTTTTTTATTGGTTAATAAAAAATTTTCAATTTTATTTTAAATTCAAATTTGTTCCTTTTTTTTAAATTTTTAAACTTTCAATTTGTGAAAAGATAGAAAAGTTAACTCATAGCATTCCTTTGCTTTTTTTTACAAAAATGTGAAAATTGTTTAATTCAATTGTGCATTCCTACATTTACATATTTAAACTTATGCCTAAAAAAATACTGTAGGAACTATCATTGTCACATTATTATCACATTAATATGTAAATTCTTTTTTTTCGCAATTACGATTTCAAATATTAATTTTTATCGTTAATATTATTATCATTTAAATTATACTGTAATAATTGTAGATTTCATCTTTTTTTTCTTAATTATTGTTAATTTCAAAAATTAATATTAAAATTAATGATTACTGAAAATTGAAAATTAAATTTATTAACAATTCAACAATTTTAATCAGTTTATATCAATATTAATTATTATCAATTGTTGACATTGCATTCTTTTGGTCAATTCATTTCTCTCATAAAATTAGCATATTCATTTCAATTCAGTCATGTTCTGGATGATAGATTAAATTTTTTTTTATGCTTTATTTTCTGAGCGAATTTCTCCTTTTAGCTTTATTTTTATTTTCATATTATTCCAGTCTTTCTCTTTCTGTTTTTCTTTTCTTTCCCTTTCTTTTTTTTTTTTTTTTTTTTTTTGCTCTTTTAATCTTTCTTAGATTGATGAAAAAATTTAATCGTTTAATTTTGTACTTCATTATTTACTTTTTTTTCTTGTTATTTTGTAATTTTCATTTGAATAGATAAAAAAAGACAGTATTATTATGGAACTGATAAAAATAATTTTAAAAGGATATTTTATAAAATAAAATTTTGGTATGTATATGCATGCACGCAATTATTTTTTCACTTTAAAATAAGGTAAAATTTTATTTTGCAAATAATTTGCATAAAATTATTAATGAGAAATGAAGTAGAATAAGGGAAAAAAAAAGATGTGACATAAATGGGGTATTTTTTGCCTTTTGAACTGATCAGTTAATCAATTATTGATCGATCGGGATGAAACATTCAGATAGTGAAGAAGCTGAATGGAATTTCACAAATTTAACATTTAATCATTTGCAGCACTTGTTTTCTTCACACTTTTTTCCTTTCCTGTCTTTCATTTCATTTTGGGGCGGGTAAAAAAGGGAAGGAAAGAGGGAAGGAAGGAAGAAAAGAGGGAAGGAAGGAAGGCATTAATTATTGTTTATTGTTGGTTAAATTTCCGTTCTATTACTTTTCTCATATTCTTTAATAATTTATTAAATATATATTTACATATATGCATTCATTATAGAGTTACGTAAGTTACGTAGATGGGAAAATTTGTGTAACATTTATTTGTCTTATTAATTTAAAGAACTAATTAACTATTTTAACTGAAATTATTCACTTATTGCTACAATTAATTCCAGTTTTGCTAATTTTATATGTATGATATCTTTTTTTTTTAATGTTTTACGTTTGTATCTTTTGCTAGATAAATGATTACGTGAACATTATGATATGATAGAATTATCATTATTCTATTTACATTCCGCAATTCTTAAAATGTTAACGTGTATGGAAATTAAGTAATACGTATTAGGTTAACGTGTATGAAATTAAAATTAAGTAGAAGGGATTTTTTTTTTTGTTGAACTATACTTCATTTTATAGTTGATATGATTTTCATGAAATTACTTTTTGCCATTTTGTTTTGTTAATTTGATTAGTAATATTAGATTCAAAAATTATAAAACAATTATATGTAAAATAAAGCATATAAATATTTATTATATAAATATGCATACAGCTATTTTAGATATTTATATTTCATATTTTTTAAAAATGTTTTAACGCACTTTGCTTTATTTTTCTTCTCCATTCCTTAATTGTTAGTAATGACTAATTGTGTTTTAAACATTTGAAAAAAAAAATGAAAGAAATTCTTAAGTTATTTCAACATTTTTATCTCAATTTTTAGTAATTTATTAAATATTTATCTAAATTAAATTCCGATTAAGAGAGGGAGAGAGAGAGAGAGAGAAAGAGAGAGAAAAAGGAAGGTATCATATTTGCAATTTGATAATTTAACTGTCAAATTTTTCAAATAATTTCATTTTTTTGTAAACTTTCAGTCAACATTCTTATTTCGGAATCTATCTCAAATGTTATATCACATCTCTTCTTCACTCATCTTTCTTCTCTTTACTTTTGTTGATGAAAAAAAAAAAAAAAAAGGAACTTCATATCGGGTTTTTTTTTATTTTCATCCTCTCTCTCTCCCTCTTCTTCTTTTCCTCTCTCTCTCTCTCTCTCTCTCTCTGTGTGTTGTATATGTGTGTCCCTCCTTGTTTCTTGTTAAAAAAAGAATTGAACTAATACATAGATAGATTAATAAAGATAATTTATAGAAGAGAAAGTTGACAAGGACAGAGGTAGAGAGAGAGGGAGAGAGAGAGAGAGAGAGAAGAAATCATTATCATTGTCATCGTGTCATTGCTATTCATTGTCATCATCTACTACTACTTCTTTACTTCGTTTTGATCGTCACAAACGAAGAAGGATAGTTTTAGATACTATTTCCGATAAATGTTCACTTTTTTTTTTTTTTTCCTCTATAGTCAATTGCAAATATCACATAAAATATGATACTTTAAAAGAGAAAAGAAAAAGAGGAAAAGAAAATTTATTTTTACTCATTTTTATCATTTTTTGTTCGTTTCTTTCTTGAGATTTTTAAGATTGCAAACTATGTTAAACTAGTTTAGCTTAAGTTTAAGCTTAAATTTATTCAAATATTAGAGAAGAAGAAGAAGAAGAAGAAAATGTAAATGGAATGAAGTAAAGTGGATGAATAAAGAGTTAAAAATGTTTGTTAGAGGAGGAGGAGGAGGAGGAGGATTTGTAAACTTGTCATTTTTGTTATTTTTAATTTTGATTACAACTTTTTTTTTTCTTTAAGTATCATTCTATTCCTCTTTACTTTCTCATCATTTCTCTTCTTTTTTTTTTTTCTTTATATTAAAAACGTTGCTAGCGTGAAAATTTTTGAGAAATTTTAATTATTTTTAGAAATTAAAAAAGGTTTTTTTTTTCTCTTGAAATTTTATTTTACATAAATCACACAAATCAAATGTGAAATTATTATTGTCTATGTTAATTAATGATAAATTACTTAAATATGATTATTAGAATCACAATATTTGATATAAATATGCATTTCAAAATTTCTAATTAAAATAATTTATGAATATGTTTTTATGATACTGGAATTTTTCTCGTTGTTAATTTCACAATTTTCTGTGACTTATATTGTTTTCGTACGTCACATTTATGACCTAATTTTTTTTTTTTTTCCTTTTAACTTAAATTTTATCTTATTTTATTTTTTCAATTTTTTGTTTCGTATTTTTTAAATCTATGAGATATTTTGAAGGATATATAATTTTTGTGGATATAAAATTTATTGCTATTGTATAAAATACGAAATAATTATAGCCAGCAGAAGCAGAAAAAAAGAAGTGACAAAAAAAGGTGACAAGAAGAAGGAAGCAGAAAGCAGAAAGAAGAAAGAAAAAAGAAAAAAGATAAAAATGTCAAAACCGGAAAAAGCTGGAGCGCAACAAACGTCACTTCTTGATGTCCTCAAGAAAAAGATGCGACAAGCTCGAGAAGAAGCAGAAGCAGCAAAAGATGAAGCAGATGAAGTGAAAAGACTTTTGGAAGAGGAACGAAAGAAACGTGAAGATGTACGTTTATAAATTTCAATTTTATCAATTTTTATTCTTTTACTTTTTTCTTTTTACATTGTTCAAACAATTTTATTTCATCTATGTAAGTTATTTGTTAATTATTTAATTAGTAAATTTGTTATCGATGGATGTATTTTATAGTAGTTTCATTTTTAGTACAAATAATATTTAGTTAGGATAAATATGTGATATTTTTATTTTACACACATATATTTTACATTCAATTATTTGTTTACTCATATTCTAGTTATTTATTTGTTTAGTTCAAAGTATTCTTCACTTCCACTTCTCAACGGATAGCTTTTATACATTTCTGTGAGAAATGGTTCATATTTACTTTTTTCATCATATTCATGTTATATTCTCAAAATTAATTTATGTATGTATAAGATAGAAAGGAAAAAAAAAAAGAATTTCTTACATATGTAAAAGTTTTATTTGAATTTTGAGGAAAATTGTTTAGAAGATGGAAAATTAATTATAAAAGGATATTTGAAAATCAATGATTGAAATATTTTAAAATATTAGCGGAAATAAATAGAATTGATATTCTATTTGAAATATTATAACTATCACTGGAATGTAAACTTAACTTGGATTTTGTATATGATGGGAAAATGTTATCGATAAAAAGCGGAAATTTATTATTTTCCAAGATTCTTCTCTCTTTCTCTTTCCCTCCCTCTCTCACTATCTCTCCCTCTCAATGAAGGGTTAAAAAACATGTGCGTAGCATTTTTTGAATGGATAATGTAAAAAATTGATAAAATGCAAAGGGAAATCAATATTACATAATTGGAAGGGCAAAAATTCAAGCAAAAGATTTTTTTTTTTTGCTTTTGCTTGAAAAGAAAAACAGAGAATATTTTAGGGGAAAATTTAATGTTAGAATTTTTTTTTAAACTAGAATTATATTAAAAATTCATTTTATATTAATGAAATTTAAGTTGATAGAAAGCATTTGCTAAATGTTAGTTAAAATAAGAATGATATGATTATATGCAAAGGATTAAAATGAAATGAACTTTTCTCTTTACGATAGAAGAAATAATTGTTGTCAATTGATTGAATCATAAATCAATAGCTTAAATGTGATCTATTCATAGTCATATAAAGAACGTTAAATGTGATGGTTAATTATATGACATTGATATTCAACTGAAGGTTAAAATTATACATTATCATAGGGAAAGAAGAGAAGAATGAATAAAAATACGAAATGATAATCTTTTAAGATTAGATCCAAAATTTGATATTTTGATAATTGAATGAATGGTTTATTTTATCAGATATTATTATTATTATTATTATTATTATTATTATTATTATTATTATTATTATTATTATTATTATTATTATTATTATTACTGTCGTTAGGAATTGTTGAAAACTGAGAGGATATGACATAATAATTTTCATTTTCAAACTGCATCCTTTCTTTGAAATTATTCACTAGTACTTTTGATCGTTCAATCACCTATTAGTTATCATGATTATTATTATTATTATTATTATCACTATTATTTAAGTAACAATATGTTTATCTTAGTCGACTGTTTAGTGGGAATTCGTGAATTTCTCTATAAATTTTCAAATGTTTAATATTGTTGAAATTGTCGAGTGAGGTTTGAAGATTATAATTGCAATTGAAGAAATGGTAGTATTGGTAATAGTTATTGTTGAGAAATAGTAATGACAATTAGAATCTATAATAATAATAGTAGTAGTAGTAGTATTGTTGTGCTGTCTTTTCTTTCAAATACTTTTGTCATCTTATACATCTATTGTTATTTAGACTTGGCCTATTCTTATTCAATAATTTCTCCTTTTATATATATATATGACAGTGTATGAATCGTCACATTTACAATATTTTATAAAATTTTCACTAATTTTATCAATTATAATTTTCCTTCTTTTTTTTTTTTTTTTTGATTTCTATTGAAAATTGTGATTTTGCGAAAATATTAGGGAATTTAAATGGTTAATTGCTATTTAATAACTTTAGTGAAGAAATAATAATGATTGAATTTCAGTTATGCTATTGATAAATTTGAGAATTGGAAAATTGAAATTTTCAAAGTTTAAAATTACACTACTCATACAAAATACTAAAATTTGTGACGTAAATTATAAATTAGAGATTGTTAAAAGAATTTTATTTCAGGCTGAAGCGGAAGTGGCAGCGCTAAATCGTCGGATTGTGCTTGTTGAGGAGGATTTAGAGCGGACAGAGGATCGTTTAAAAAGTGCTACAGAAAAATTAGAGGAAGCATCAAAAGCAGCTGATGAAGCTGAACGGTAAAAATCAAAACAGAAGAGTGATGAGCAAGATGCTTCTCATAATAAGCATCTGCTTATCAAATTAAAAAAAAAAAAAAAAAGAAGTTTTGAAAATTTTGGTTTTTTACACCATAACTGTTTATAACCTTTTATTTTTTTTTTCTTTTTAAAAATATGAAATTAAAAAGAAAAAAAAAAACATTACTTGAAAAAAAAAGTAATGTTATTTTAGTATTTTAAATATATATCTTTGAAAACTTTTTTCTCAGAAATAATCCAAAAAATAAAAAAAACAAAAAACAGGAAAAAAGTGTATAATTAATAATAAAACTAAAATATTAAGTCAATATAATATGGTATGAAAAACCTAAATTTCCAAATTTTAAATAATTATGTAGGATTTCTAGGGTTATTGCTTTTTTTTTTTTTTTTTTTTTTTGTAGGATTTTATAGGATATAGGGAGTATTTTATTGCGTTCATATCGAATTAGAAGGTAGTAGCAGAGAGGAAAGAGGTGAAGGTACGAGCAGAAAACTACAACTTCTAGGCGGAGGCTGAGGTAGCAGCCCTGAATCGTCGTATGACACTTCTGGAAGAGGAATTGGAACGAGCAGAGGAACGTTTGAAGATTGCAACGGATAAATTGGAAGAAGCAACTCATACAGCTGATGAATCCGAACGGTCAGCGAAATAATTTCGGCAATACCGGTAGCAAAATTCTGGAATAGTTCTAAGATGATCTTCCAGAAATTTTGTTTATCCGGGAAAAAAAAAAAAGAGAAGCCAACCGAAACGGCAGCCATCAGTAATTTATTTTGTCCATTGTGTTCATGAAGGCCTCCTCAGCCTCCTTTTTTTTTATCTTCTCAATCCTCTTTCATTTTCTTTTTCTTTTTTCTTTTTTTTTTTTTTTTTCAAATACAGCACGATGTGATATTTTTATCAAATTTTAGTAATAAAAACAAAAAAAAAAAAAATAACTGAAAGTCAAGTTTCTTTTTTTTTTACTTTTTATTTAATTTGCTTGAATTGCACAAAATATAATTCATATGTTTCTTCCTTTCCTAATTTAATTTTTCTAATTTAAAAGATAGGTTAATAATATGAAAACATATGAAAAAAAAAATCTTTTTTTTCTATTTATCACATAAAATTGATACACATTAAAAGCCCAGTATTTATTATCTCTAAATAGTAACAGAAAAAGATTTATAAAAAAACAATCATAACATGCACAAATTGAATTTTGTTTTATTTTTTTAATGCCAATATTTTACTAATCTTGCTTTTATCTAATCTTAAATATTAAATCTTTATGATTGAAATTAATTCACAAAAGGATAATTTCTCTTTTTTTCTTCCTTTTTCTCAATTTTTTTAACTCCTTAGCAAATTTCGATATATTTTTTTTTTGTTACCTAACGTAAAAATAAGCTTATTAAGTGAGTTTTGTTACTAAATTATACTCGTATGTATTGTTCAACTAATTATTGTTTATACGTCCTGTGATTTTGTGATGAATCGTTTTTCTTCTGTCGTAGTGCTCGTAAATCGATGGAAACACGATCACAACAAGATGAAGAACGAGCTAATGTATTGGAAATACAAGTTGATGAGGCAAAAATGATTGCTGATGAAGCAGATCGAAAATATGAAGAGGTTATATCATTTCTTGTTGTTCGTTTTTGTTTTTTTTTTTTTTTTTTTTTTTTTTTTTTTCTCGTCTTTGTTAATTGATTTGGAAGAAATTTTTTGCTTTTTGTATTTTGGTTACACTTCAATTTACGCTAAATTGACGATATGCAACGATTTTAATGAACTAACGAAATTTTTACGAAATATGACATTTACGTGATTTTTTATTGTCAATTTGTTTTGTTTTCCGTTCGTGATTTTTTGTTGTCAACTATTTCATTTTCCGTTCATTTGTTTATGTGATTTTAAGTGTTATATTCGTCTTGATGTTATCACTTTTACGATCATAATAATTTCGACCATATTAATGCATGTCATTTTTATTTATTTTTGCATGTTTAAAATATGTTGCATGTTGCATGCTTATTTTTACATATTATCTAAGATTCGCTTGAAAATTACTACCTAATGATTGTAAACTTTATTATTCCTTCATATATCATTTGTTAATTTGAGGCTTCAATTTTTTTTTTTTTTTTCAACTATGTGATTAATTAGAAAATTTAAAAAAGGAGAGAAATTTATCAGTGAAACATATATATATATATATTAATGAATAACATTCTAATTGATAACTAATTACATACAATATTACTGAGTGTGTTTAACGTTAACTTTTTTGAGTGACCATAAATAACCTTTAATATTCTAAATATTTTTTTTTTTTTTTTTTGTTATAATTTAAAAATAAAACAATAATTTGTTTTCTTTTCTTTTAAATAACATATTTAACGGAATGAAAATACATGTGTTTTGTTTGTTGTCATCAATTCAGCGCACGTAAAGCATTGGAAAATCGTATTGATGTGGATCACGATCGTTGCGGTGAGTTGGAACAAAAATTACGTGAAGCTCAAGCATTACTGGCTGAAACAGAAAATAAATCAGATGAGGTTGTGCTTTTACCCATTTTTTTTTACCCATTTTCCATACTTATTAAACTAACAGTTTGCCTTATTAATTCATTTGCCTACTTACTTATCTGTCTTTTTTTTTTTTTTGAAAAAAAAAAAAAAAACGGAAACGAATTATATTGAAAATTAATTCGTCTATTTATATGATGTGAATTTTAGTGTGTTATTTAAATTAGTCTTTTTTTTTTTTTTGGTTCATTAGGAATAAAAATGGTTAAATAATTTAATTTTCACTTATTTTAGATATATCATTTTATTCCTTAACAGTTATAATTCATTCGGGAAATTAATAGCTATATTTTATCTTGAAACTTAGTGAATGAGATAAAAATGATGGAAGTAAAGAGAAATGAAAAGTTATTCAAGCATTTTCATGTCTAAATTTTAGTTATGAATTTTGTAAAATTTATAAAATCACTGCTGTGCGTAGTCGTTTGCATTTTGTTTGCCTTACTACAGTTACTGATACATTTTCCTTTCAAATTATTTCTGTTTCTTAATATTTATTATTTAATATGTGTGTATGTATGTATGTGTTTTGTGTGTTATCTCCTAATCTTTTATTTTCATTTCTTATCAAAGTTTTTTTTATTAAATTTTAAGAAATGAATTTAAACTATCATTTTTTTTTTTTTTTTCTAAAATTATTCCTATGCTTCTTCCTGTCATTCTTTTAGATCTTTCCATCTTCCAATTTCTCTATCATTTTGTACAGTAGATGAAAGAAGGCTTCTGGCGGTTGGTTTTTCTTTCATTTCATATTATAATTAACGATAATAACAGCTAATTCTATAGTTTAAAAAAAAAAAAAAAAGAAGAAGAAAGAATTTGTCAATGTTTTAAAAATTTGGTATGAAATTAAATTAAAATTCGTATAAAATTCGTTTATTTTGAAAGCTACAAATAGATATTTGAAAGAATTAAGAAATAATTTTCATTACATTTCTTTATTTCTATTTTTTTCTTTTAAAGGAAAAAAAAAATTCGAAGAAAATGACAAAATTTAATTTTCTTACAAAAAATAGGATGAAAATATTTTATAAAATTTAGATATTAAAGATAAAATAGTAGAAAAGAAGAAGAAAATATTGATGTAATATTGGGGATTTAGTGTTCGAAAAGTCATGGAAAATCGTTCATTCCAAGATGAAGAACGTGCCAATACGGTCGAATCACAATTGAAGGAAGCGCAGTTATTAGCCGAAGAAGCGGATCGAAAATACGATGAGGTGACGATGAGTGGAATAAGAGAGAGAGAGAGAGAGAGAGAGAAAGAGAGAGAGAGAATGAAATATGTTGTGTTATTATTAATTTATGTAAATTTTTGTTGAAATTTATTCATTCAAATAAATGTTCTTTTTAAATAATAATAATAATAACTTTATTTTCTTTTTTTTTTTTTTTCAAATTAACATTAAAGGGTTTGCATGCATAGATTTTATATAATATTTCTTCTCTCTTTTATTTCTTTATTTACATATATGCCTTTTTTCTTTTCATTTATTTTAATTAAAAAATTTTTTTTACAATTGTTAAAAAAATGTCTATAGCTATTAATATGATAGCAGTTTATGGGAATGTTCAAAGCATATTAATGCACTAATAGAATACATTTTACTGCTAAAGTTTCAAATAAATCTTACTGATTTAAATGAGTAAGATGATTTGTTAATTAGTTATTGATGTGGATTTAATTAATGAAATGGATTAAATTGAGTAATTTTGAATATTTAAATGCTATTAAATAGTTTTAGTGTCTCTTTCTTTCTGAAAATAGATTGTTTGATTTTCTATTAATATTTCATCCTAGAAAGGAAAATTATGTATGTAATTAATTATTCTTTATATTTTACTATCCAGGGAATTTAACTCAATAATTTATACTTTTTAATTGTATGAATTGTACTAATTTTTTTTTTTTTTAAAGGAGTATGTTTAAAAAATTACTTTTATCTGACGATTTGATTTATTGTCAACTTCAGATATTGTTTTTGTTTACTAATCGTTGTTGTTGGTTTTTTTATTTTTGAAATCAATGTTAAGTTTAACTTGGAATCGTTTGATGTACTGAAGAATTTTTATTGCATTCATCTAACTTTCTCATTCCGAATTTTTATTCATTTTGTTTGTGTCCCGTAATATGTTACTTGAATACGTCTACTTCTACGGGAGCTAACGATTCGTTAATGTGAAAAAAGCTGATAATTCAGATAGTATAAAAAAAGATAAGAAAGTAAGCTGATCTAATCTGATAGAAAAATATCAGGCGATTTGATCTTTCGAAAGACTATAATCAATTTAGGAGAGTGCATATGGGGATAGTTTGATGAATAATGAAATTTGTTTTGGATTTAATCTTATTTAGAATATCTCATACTTTTGTTTACTGATCTATTGACTTTAAGTAAAGTAACATAGAAGTATCTGTCTTGTTCGTCCTCTTTCTCTAATGTTACGTCTTTTACGAGATTTCGTTATCATAATGTGTTGTTTTTCACTTACCAATTCTTGATTTTGCTGTGCAAAAGAACTATTAATCAATCCTTTTTAAATATTTCATTTCATTTCCAGGTAGCTCGTAAATTAGCTATGGTTGAAGCCGATTTGGAACGAGCTGAAGAGCGTGCTGAAGCCGGTGAAAAGTTAGTTTTCAATAAAATTCATCAAATATAAAAAGTTTCATCAAATGGCAAATAGTCATTTATTAAATTTGCAAAAGAATTTTAGATACAATTTTTAAGGATTTGAGCTATTGTTATGAGTGTATCTACAATTTTCCTCTGTTGTATTTTATTTTATATCGAAGTAGTAAGGCCTGTTAACTTCATTTGAAGTAATCCTTTAATTTTAATTTTTGGAAAGTTGAGAAAACTCAAAGATATTAAGCAAACTGAGTGAGAATAATTTATTCCGGAAATTTGCGATAACATTACATATCGACAAGACCTAAAAATATGATAGGTTGACTACTTTGTAAAGCTTGTAGTGAGAGATTCTTGTATCAGAAGGGAGCATTTTGTATTATGCTGGATTTTATTTATAACTAATAGTATGCAATTTCATTTTTGATTTGATTTGAGCAGAAATAGCTGCTTATCAATCAATTCTCGACATGTATTGAATTTCATTAAAAAAAAAGAAAAAAAACATAAATGTGTGAATGGTGAATGAGAATTTAACATCAAATTATAAATTATCAATTACATCATACGATATTTATCGCACACATTAGATTAATTTTACGAGCATTTGGAGTTTTTCTTTTTTGAAAAAAAAAAAAAAAAAAAGAAAAAATTTTTTTGGAATAATGTGTTGATTTGAATGAAACAATAGAAAAACACGTGAAATGGAACGGGAATTGGTTGCTGTGGGAATGAACTTGAAAACATTGGAAGTTCATGAAGAACGTGCTCTACAACGTGAAAATTCTTTCTCCGATCATATACAAAGCTTACAAAATCGGATCAAAGAGGTGAAAATGGTGAAAATATTGGGATCAGCGTATTAAGCATGATAAATTTACATAAACTTTAGTTAAATGAATTAGCTATAGTTTTTAAAGTTAAAAATATTAGTTACATCAATTAATGTTTTTATCAAATATCAGTTAATTTTCTTATCAAATGTCATCAATTTTTCATGGCAAAAATATGCTGTATATTTTTATGTGATTTAGAATTAATGAAAAAAAAAAAAAAAATGATTTTTTGATGTATCTTTCATAGTTTCTTTTTTTTTTTTTTTTTTTTTAAAGGCTTCAAGAATCGATAAAATAAATGTGAGAAAAAGATCAGTCGGACTTACAATTGAATTTTGCTTAGCAAAAAATCTTGAATGCTATAATAAATATTTAATTCAAATTTATATTGCTAAAATGATAGTAATGTAAAGTTTTTGTATTTGAGAACAAAACAACGATTTAATAATACAAATAGTGCAGAGGTGACTGCCAATCAAGAGCTAAAATCTTTTTTTGATAATAAAAAAGTTCTCCCTAAGTAAATAAAATGAAATTTTAGTATGAGAAAATAAGTAGAAATACGATTAAGCAGTCAAGTTAAAATGATTAAGTAAAGTAAATGTTAGTAAGGAATAAATAAAATATATACCGCTGATCTCATTGATAACGAAATGCTCTATGATGGATGGCTATTTTGTGTCTGTGGGAAAAATTTGATGTGTTGTTGTTATGTGTTGTAAAAATGTAAGTTATTGGTGAATGGTAAATGTTGTATGCTATGAAAAATGCTAAGCTAATAAGAAATTAAGCTTTATACATATACATCGGTTTTTTAAAAAAAAAAAAAAATTAATTTATTATGTCAAAAAAAATTTTTGGCATTATGAATTTCTTTTTTTTTTTTTTTTTTTTATTAGTTCTTTCTTATTTTGCATATTCCTTTTGTTATTTGTGCAGCAAAATTGTGGAATTGGAAGAAGAGCTTCGTGTTGTTGGCAATAATTTAAAATCTTTGGAAGTATCTGAGGAAAAAGCTTTACAACGTGAAGATTCGTACGAGGAACAAATTCGTACAGTTTCAGCACGTTTGAAGGAGGTATATAATTGATATGGAATAATTATTATTTGAATATTATTAGTGAATAAATATTAAAAAGTTTGTGGTAAAAAAATTTCTTTTAAAAAATATTCTTGAGTTAAGCTTGCTTTGTTTATGTTGTGAAAGTTTTATATTGAGCTTGGAATGCACAAATTTCAAATTTATTGCACTTTTTTAGTTTATTCATCCTTTTTTTTTGCATGATGATATGCATATACTTTTCTTATTGAATGCATGTAGTAAATGTTACTTTTATTAATTATTTTAGGCAGAAACACGAGCAGAATTTGCTGAACGATCAGTTCAAAAATTACAAAAGGAAGTTGATAGACTTGAAGGTTTGTTTCAAAAGTTTTTTTTTTTTTGAATAAGTTTGATAGTATCATTATTTTCGGTTTTTTTCTTTATTTTATGGGAAAAGAAGTAAATAAAAAAAAAATGTTGATCTGTAATAATTATTTAATTGAATTTTTTTTTTTTTTTTTTAACACTTAATTGAAATATATCTATTCTATTGCCATGGATCTAAATACCAAGCAAATAATGAAATGAAATGGAATAGTTAAGGTTTGGAATAAAAGATTTAATGTAAAGGATCTAAGGATCTATCTACTAAGAAAAAAAAGTGGGTAATAATAATTGAAATAAATTGAGATAATTTAAAATTTCTCATCTTATTTCTATAGCTTCTTCATATATTATACTCCTTTTTTTGTTTTTGTATGTTTATTGTTAATGTTGTTGTTATTGTTTATTGTTTAATGTTTTTGTGATAAATGGAATGTAAATTAATGAGAGCTACAGATGAGTTATTAATCGAGAAGGAACGTGTGCGTAATTTGACGGAAGAAATCGAGCAAACTGTTCAGGAGATTCAGACCTCCTGAAATATGTTCATCTAAATGCCGTATCAACATCATTTGTTTAACGTTTTGTTCGTCATTTTTTTTTTCTTTTTTTTTTGAACGTATATGCATGTATGGTGTATTTGCGTGTGTTTCTAGTGTGTTTCTTACGTGTGTTTCTTACGTGTGCTTTCTTACGTGTATTTTCGTTATTTACCCATACGTGATGTTTATATGGATAAGAATGCAGCAAAAAGTTTTCGTTTTTAAATTAGTCCAAATTAATAAGCTTGCTGTTTTGTTCCATTCATATATCGTTTCATTCCTTTTGAATAAATAAAATCTTTTCCATCCACTAAACAAACTTACAAAATTTTTAAATTTTTATATTGTTGTGATAAATGTTTGCATTATCTTATTTTTTCATGATTTTTTTTTTTTTAATTTTGCTGGAATGAATTATTTGAATTTATTGCATAACTTTTTGAATTTTAGTCTAAAATCTTTTTTTCAATTCGATGAAAAATATTAACAAACAATATTGATTACTTAATTATCATAGTTTGATAATATTGCCTTGCAAATTACCATCTTTTATTTATTTATTTTTTTTTTTTTTTATCAATCTCAATCGAGTTATTTTATTTTTTTGCTAATAAATTTATTGCGATAACTTCGAGAAGGTATTCCTATATTAATATGATCTATAGCGAAAGATTATCAATAGAATCTAATTTATTCTTACACTGTGTGCTCTCAGAAATTTTAATCAATTTTCTGGCTTTTTTTTCTTTTTTTTTTTTTTTTTCTTAATCCTACTTTTTTATATCAGAGTGATAAATTAATCAGTGTGCTAATCATTTTTCAGAAGCCAAGGAACTTTCGGACAATAAAGTGAAGCAACTACAGGAGGAACTCGATCGTTTGTTAAGCGAGCTGAATACTGTTTGATCAGAAATACTCTAACATACTTTTTTGTTTTTTCATCTTTAACCTAAAGCATTGATATAGATTGTTGCGGAATTTGGAACTTTATCTTTTTAGTTTTAAATAATTTAACTTTTCTTTTTCTTGAATTCACATTATCTGAGTATCTTGTTGATCGTTTCTTTCAAAATTTTTTATTGCAAAAAAAAAAAAAAAAAAAAAAAGGAAATGAAACAGAAGATTTAAATTTCTTTCTTTTCTTTCAAAACATTTCTTATAATGAGGCAAAAAATTCACTTTAAAAATTGCAATTTCTTTTTCTTCAAATTAATTATAATTAATTTCATTAACAAAATAATTTTATTCTTTTCTTAATTCATTTCGGAATGCTGCCCTACCGATGATCAAATTTTTTTTTCTTACGCATTTATTGCAAACTGTAAAATTTTTTTTTTTTTTTTCCAAGTTTTAAATGCTCATCAACTTGTGCAGTTTTATGATGTGCATGCTTCTTTTTTTTTTTCCTGTAATTTATGATTTATTAACCGGTTATTGTTACGAAGCCTTACTTCTTCCTCTTTATTTTATTTTTTTTTTTTCAGCTTTTCCTCTTCATATAAAGTATTTGATGATAACAAATTAAATTTTGTTTGAAAAATTTTAACAAAAAGTTAACAAATTTCATTTTGTATGAAGTGTAAGGTTGATGATACCTGGTCATTTACTTAATGCTTCCTACCTATTTCATGTGCTTATGTTTTATTTATTCTCTCTTAATGTATAATATCGCTTAAAAGATTTTGAAATTTATAAAACATTCCTGTTTCTTTCTTCATTTTTCTCCTAACAAAATTGCCTCTCAGAATTTTAAATTGCAATTATCTTTTCTGATACCTTTAGTGTGTATTATATCGTAAATGAATGAATAACGAATTTTACATTTCATTTTTTGAAATGAGAATGAAGGATTAAATGAATATCATCGATTGGTGGTTTTTTTTTTCTCTCTCTCCCTCTCTCTCTCTCTCTCTCTCTCTCTCGAACACTGTCTACGAGAAAAGCATTATGGGAAATAATTTTATGAGCAAATAGATCACATTAAATATATAATTCAATCTTTTACAGTTGCTTAACGATATTAAAAAATTTTTTACTTTTTACATTTATACTGAAATTGATTGCAATATTTAGAGGACACTGAAATTGTTCCTAAAAAAAATTAAATTTTGAACTTTCCTTTTTTTTTTTTTTTTAAGTTTCTGCAACATTTATTTTTGCTTTTACAGCTGCTTCTTCCTTAATTTAAACAATAAGATTATTTTTTTTTTCTTTTATTTTTTGATTTTAGAAGCTATGCATTTTTGTATAATTTTAATATCTTACTTTGCAATCAATCACTAGAAATAATTATATCTAAATTTGCACAATTACAACAAATATTTTTATTAAATTAGATGAGGGTTTTTTTTTTTTTTTTTTTGTTTCATTTCCTTCTTTCACTTTCTCATCGTTTTTTAATTTAAATGAATGAAAATTTCAAATTTAATTTTTACAATAAACAAATTTTTGCATATATGCAAGTTCCAAATTCCCAAAGATAAACAAAAGAGAAAAAGAAAATGTCAACAACTTATGGTTTATATGAATAGAAAGAAGAGAATTACTGGCATGCTTGTCATTTTCCCTTGTGTGATTGTTTTTTTAATACTAATAAATGTTTCTGTTCTTTTTTTCTCTTCCTCTTTCTTTTTCTCTCTAATGGATGGATAGTATTTTGATCTAATTACGGATGTTATTTGTTAATAATTATATAAAATTTTTATACGATATTCGAATAAGCAAATATCGGGTAATTTTTGCATCCTTTTCAATGAAACAAAGTAAAATTAATTTTTTATAAAAAAAAAAAAAAAAAAAGTAATACAAAATATTGCTTTAAAAAAAGGACTAAAAAAAAATGTGAATGTAATCATTCTTTCCTTTCTAATTATATATTTTATCATTTAAAAATAGAATTTTTAAAATAATAGTCATAAAATTTGATCAATTTGATCAAATGATTATTCATTTCAATTAGCTAATAATTTTAACTGTTAGCTAATTCAAAGTAATATTTCATTTCTAATCAATGATTAATTCGAAATAAATAATATAAATAAAGTTATGAAATAATTACTATACAATAATGAATATTTCTAAAAATTTATCTTTTCCACTTCGCATGCTTTCTTTACCTACCAAATATTTTTTACACATAATTTTTCCAAACTTTTTTTTTAAAAAATTTATTTGAAAAAAAATGGAAAGAAAAGAAAAGTGAAAAAAAAAAAAAAAAAAAAACGAAAATATTATTATTGTATTTTACAGATGAATTGGTGCATGAGAAGGAACGATACAAAAATATTTCCGAGGAATTGGATCAAACTTTCCAAGAACTTTCTGGATATTGAGAGAAGCAAAAAATTAAAACTTAAAAATTTCTTAAATGCAATATTCATTTTACTAACAAAATGCGAATACATTTCATTTCATTTCATTTCATTTTTTCTCCTTAAAATAATGTGTTCTTTTTTTTTTTCCTTTCAAACATATTTTAGAGTTTGTTTCAAAATTTCATCCAAAAATGTTACAAAATATTTTTTTATATATGCAACAAATCTATCATCAAATCATCAATAACAATATTTATTTACTTTATTTTTTTTTTTCTAAAATACAATCAAAAAAGAGCTAAAATATTTGCCGAAAAATTTGTTGAAAAATTTTCTAACCGTCGAAGTGTTTTTTTTAAAAAAAAAAAAAAAAAAACTTTCTGAAATTAGAAAAAAGAAATTCATTTTTAATCAAAAACTAAAAAAAAAAACAAAAAAACAAATCCATTAATCATTTAATATTCTGTTACTAACAATTCAAAACAAAAACAAAAAACAAGAAAACAAAAAAAAAAAAGAGTAAAAGCAAAAATAAACAAAACAAGACAAAAAAACAACAAAAAAAAAGCGAAACATTTTTCTCTTCCTCAATGTTTAGATTCTCTCTCTCTTTTTTTTTTAATTAATATTTACTTCTTTTATTGCTAATTACTAATTTTGTTTCTTCTTTTCTACTACAAATTAGAAAAGCTTTACTCTATTTTACTCCTAGGCTATTCGTATCCTATAATTGTAGTATTTTTTTTTTACATTGTATTTTTCTTTCCTGTCTTCCTTCTTCTGTATCCGTAAATTCTTGGATAATTTCGTCGGATAAAATAAAAGAAACAAAAATTCCGTTTTTCTTTTTTTTTTTTTTTTTTTTTTTTTTGTAAATAACATTGAAGGATTGAAAATTCAACCAACAAATTGCATTTATCATGTTATTATATGATAACATCAGATCCATTGTTATCAGCTGATGTAAATCACTGATAATATGCAAATTATGCATTACATTACCTGTTACAAACTATTTTCTTTTTTTTTAAATCAAAATTAACAATGGACGTATTACATTTGCAAATTGCATTTATCATTTTGCAATTGTCATTTTAAGAGATAACAAAAGGAAGCGCAAAAAAAAAAGAGGAAAGAGACTATCGTAATAAATTGAAATTTTATTTTTCCCATTATTACATAGAGCAATGCCATTTAATGAATAATTAAAAAAGCGGAACAAATTGAAAGAGAAATGAAATTGCAAATGGAATGAATGGGAACGAAGTGAAATGCATAAATTTGCCCAAATAATTACCCATAAACAATTAAAGCGATGATTAATATATTAGAAATGAAATTTTACATTTTATTATTTAAGATAGTAAGGTGATGAAGAGTGGAAAATTAAATTAAAATTGAATTTAATTAAAAATTCACCATAGTATTATGGAAGTTATACAACAAAAGAAAAGAGAGAAGAGAAATGAATGCTGAATTAGGTGATAATTTCAGCTCAAAAATGAATGATTAATGATGATTTACATTTAAATATAAATTTTGTTTCTGATTTTAAATCATTAAGTAATAATCAACCGATTAAATTGGAAATTCAAATATTTAACTATTTAAATTATAGCAATTTTGTTTTTATGCAAAAAGAATGGAAGGAAAAATGACATTTACATTTATTAGAAATAAAATTAATAATTAAATTATGAAAAATTCAACATACATTTATGATAGAATTGATGAAATGGTATTTTTAATTAATTTATGATTGAAATTTATAATGCAATATCACTGTTTAATTTATTTTTAGTTTAAATTAATGCGAAATTGAATAATTTATTCTCATTCATTTTGACTAAATCATTTAAATATAAACAAATAATTTATTAACAAATTTGATGCTATTCATATGGTAACACTTTATAATAATGAATCTATTCAAATTTAATTAAAAAATTATCAAATTAAGGAATTAAAGAATGCTTAGCTACTTTAATATATATAATTAATAAAATTATTAGTAATAATTAAAAGTTATGAGAAAAGTTATTGCGAATAAATGGATTAAAATAAGATGAATGAGATGAAATAGTTAAGTAAAATATAAATAAAATATAATATTTATTGAAAAAAAGAGGAAAAATTGATTAAATGAATTTAATTTTTTAATCAATCGATAATCCAACTTTTTTATTTTTTAATCAATCAATTTACTTTTATAATTTATTTTACTTTTTAATTCTATCACTACGTGTAATGAATTCATTCATTTTTTTTTTTCAATTATTAAAGTTTGATAACAAAACTTTCTAGAATAAACTGTATAATATGATTTAGTTTTAAATTAGTCAAGCAAATTAGTCACTGTTTTCTTTTTTTTTTTTTTTTTGAAAAACTGTTTATTTATTTTTTCTTTTTTTTTGTTTTTTTTTTTCATCAAATTTCAATTTTTCAATGAAAGAAAATTAAGAAGAAAATATTTTTGCTATCAAAATTTCATGTTTTTTTTTTTTTTTTTTTTTTTTTTTTTTAAGTGAATAATTCATAAAATTTTTACAAATTTTGCATCACGTTTAATTGACATTATCAAATACTGTGCATTCCTCGATATATACAAGTAGCATTCCGGAATATTCCTGATTTTTTTTCCTGATTAAATCAATATAACAAATTGTACTTTGTTGTTTCAAATGCATAAATTCATCATTTAAGCTTTGTTATCTTTAATAAATTTAAATGTAATCAAATTAAAATACAAAAATTAGCATAGCATAAGATGACAATTTATTGTAAAAGCATAAGCAGTGCAAAATTAAAAAAAAAAAATTATAATAGACAATTAAAAGATGAAAAAAAAAAAAGACAGTAATAATTTTTGCATATGAACAAAATAGTAGTAGTATAAATGATAAAATGATATCAAAATCTTTGGAATTAAAAAATATGAGAGCCTTATCAAAATCATTGTTATCATTACTGTTATCATTATCATTTAGTTTTACAATATAATATATAATTTATTATCATTTAATGAAAGATACAAAGAAATGAGAGTATCAAATCAATAAACATAAGAATAGGCGAAGCAAGAAATAGCAAAATTTTAAAATAAATTTAGCTGATTATTATTTTTTTTTTTTTGAAATTTAAAAAAAATTTAATTCAATAATGGAATACGAAAAATTGAATTTTTTATTTTCATTATTTCAATTTACATTTTTCAAAAATTCCATTATATTTAACAATTTTCTCTCTCATATTTTTACAATTGATTGTACAAAAAAAGAAAATTGCTTATGATTGAAAAATTTTCTAATTTCAAAAATATTCATAATATAATGGAATTTTATAAGATGAATCAATTTAAAATTATTAATGATTTAATTTGATTATTTATTGAATGAAAGCATAAAATGATTATGACAAATGATTAAAATACAAAACTAAAATAAAAATAATAGAGAAAAAGAAAACAAAAAAAAAAAAACAAAACAAAATTTTAAGCAGCAATTTGGCAGTAATTATAATTAAACGCAGTGAGAAAATTATGAGAAAAAAGCAATAGAAATTTAAATTTTAATTATTTAATATGCAATGTAAATTATTATTATTACATATATGTGTTTAAAAAATATTAAAAAATTAAGTAAATCTTATTAAATTCGATTAAATTATTAACATTATGCATTATACATTATGCAAATTTGTAGGATAAAACAATAAAAAAAAGAAAGTGCGAACATTCATTAATGAAAATAAAAGCAAAATTTTAATTTCACTCTTTTTCATTTTTATTTTTTATTCACTAAAATATGCTCTCTTCTTACCCAAACGTTTGTCGGCATTGTATTTACTCATATTCTGAAAAAAAAAAAAAAAAAAAAAAATGAAAATTTATGAAATGCAGAAGTTTGCTAAAAAGAATCTTTAAAAAATTTTGTTAAACTTTTTAATTTAAACTATCGCAGATGAATTGGCTTAAAATTTGAAAATTTAATAAATTTCAATAAAAGAAATCGAATTTTTTTCCTTTTTGAAAATTTAAATTAATTTATTGATTGGAAAAAAGAAACAGCAGCAATTTGTTAATATTCACACTGAAAAAATAAAAAGTAAAAAAAGTTAGTCTATGTATAATATTTTTATTTGTTCTAATATAAATAATAATAATAATAATAATGATAATGATAATAATAATAATAATAATATTAATAATAATAATAATAATAATAATAATAATAATGATAATAATAACAATAATGCAAATAATAATAAAATCTGAGCATATATATGATATTTTTTTTTAACTTCTTGGTTTATTAGTTTAAAAAAGAAAGGAAATGATTGAAGCAATCATTAATAATAATTTCTTAGCTAATTAGATGAACAGGTAAGTCTTGGCTATATAATTACGTGGACTTTTCAGGCCATTTATTTCAACCACTGGGACATTAGATAATGAAATGAATAATTTATTTTTGCATATTCAGAAATTTGTTGTTAAAAAATTTAAGAAAAAATTGAGAAAAGGAGGCAAAAAATAGTACCTCAATGCAAAGTACGACTAATTCACGTGAACATTCAGAATCTCGACTATCACGTAATAACGGTAAACCACGTCCAATGAATGATGCTCGTCCTACTTGTGTTGTTGACGCTGATCTCCATGCACTACAGTAACCGGATTCACTACGCATACCGGATAAATCGGAACCATGCCATATACGTTTTTCAGGCCTTAAAATAAATGATTCTTTTTTCTTCCCTCAGCAATTATTTCTAACAAGTAGTTTTCCAATCTTAGATTCATCCATTGCTAATAATTAATCTAATTGATTATCAGAATTGAATAGAAATCATTCCGGAAATTCTTCCAGTATTTCAATATATTCTCTTCCGGTATTTCTCGTTGAAATGACATAATCTCATAAAATATTCAATAACAGACCATATAGAATCAGCAAAAACATTTCGACGATTGAATGAATAAATGGGTAAGTCAGCCATTTGTCTTTGCTGGAAAATATCACTCCAAGAATCAAACAACCGTTCACCGCGAAGATTTACTACCGGGGTATCGCGATCACCGCTATGTACCACTTTGTTTAAATCCTAAGAAAAATTATTTCTCATTTTTTTTCTTTTTTTTTTTTTGTTATATGTTATTTATGAGAAAAAAGAAAGAAAAGCATTGAAAAATTAGATTTTATTAATTTCATCTATAAAAATTAAAATGTAATTCGATTTTAGGTTTAAAATTTTCCATATGAATTTAAAATATTTCTAAATGTTGAGTTTTTAGATTTCAACACTTGAAAAACAGAAGGAAAGAGAGAAAGAAAGGGAGAAAAATAAATATACATTTAGCTATAATGTTGTTCATTTTAAAATTTTAATTAATATATGAAATTAAAAAGATGTAAATAAACAAATTAAGGTCAGTCTATAGCAATAATTAGTGAAAGTACTAATTAGAATTGATAAGAAATAAGTGATACAATGCTATTATCCATTTCTAATTATCTATAAAAAAAAATTATTGCAAGAAATTTCATCTTTTATTCAATAATTGTTTTAAATTTAAATTTTAAAATTTTAGTAACATTTTTGGTAAAAATGTTAATTATACCTGAACATGTGATGACAGGAATGCTCGAAAAGTAGTACGGAAATTAGCTTGTCGAGCTTGCTGATAGCATGCTAAGTCAGCTCCACGTACGCCACGCATATTACCACTCATTGGTGTATTTAATGCTATGAGATGAAGCTAAACCAAATAATAATATCCCTCAAATTTTGTATTAAAATTCAGCAAAATACTTAATTGATTTCAAATTCCAATATTCAAAAATATATAATTTGCAACAATAGAAGAAAAAAAAAAACTTTAAAAAAAAAAACAAAAACAAAAACTTACGACAAGATCTTTAGCTTGAAGACTATGCGGCAACAGAGCGGAATGCGTTCGATCCGGTCCTGGTCGTTCACGATAACGCAATCGTTCATGATCCGGATAACGTGAACGATGAGCTTCTTGCTTAATTATAATAAAATTGCGCTGTTATGCAATGATATCAAAATAAACATCGTTTGGGCTATTCATTAAATTATAAAAATTTTCAATAAATTTAGGAAAAAAAAAGTTCAAAACTAAAAAAGTGCAATTATCAAATTTTAGTGCAAATGCAACAACAACAAAAAAAAAAAATTGTGCAAATCAGCAAAGATTAATTGCAAAAAAAATAAAAAATGTGCAAAAGTGCTGTGCAAAAATATTATCAACAATATTTGCACTATGTAAACTGCAGTGCATGCATGCATGAAAGCAAGCACTTCTAGCTGATTTGCATGGATCAATTATTAGCAGATCAATGCTATGATTGGAATGATTTCTGATTTTTAATAAAAAAAATGATTAATAATTAATCAGTTAATTAAATCATCATGTAATACCAATGGAATCTTCACATTTGATTATCAGTCTTACCAATTGTTATCATTTCATTCCTATTCAGCCGCACTTGGCCATAATATCTAGGCTAATAGCTTATTTTTGTAAAAAACTAGGCCTAATTTTTGTTTATTTATATAAAAACTAAGTCTAAAAAATTTCCAAAATGAAAGTTCAATCAATTCTAATTTGCTTTTTCTACTATTATTGATCAATCGATAATTGCTATCTCTTAACTTTATGCATTTGTAAGATCATACTTATCATAAAAAATATAATTTCAATTTTATCAAAAAAAAAAAATCCAATTTTTTTTCTCTAAAAATTTTTCTGCTAATTGTTTCTTTAAGAAAAAAAAAAGAGATGGAAAAAGCGCTGGAAAGATCCAAATTGGTTTGGTTTGGTTTATTTGAATGGATCACCTCATCCGGTAATGAAATTGTCGCTTGCTGTTTAGACCATTCCGGACTAAATGTTGTTGCAACGGTTGCAAGTGCAATATGTTCGGAATGGTAATCCGGTTTAACTGACGGATTTTGATGCTCTATTCGTTGATGTTGCACTGATATATGTTGAGATGATGGAAAAGATTGTAGTGTTGAAGGAGTGTGATCTAATCTTTGCGATAAATGATGAGATTTATGTAATCGTTCATTTGGTGATAATCGTGATAATCCTGATGATCCGGATGAACCGGATGGTAAACGATACCTTGGATAAAGTTGACCTGCTGGTGGCCGATATTCTGTACGTGGATATGATAAGTGATGTTTTGATTCAAATGTTTGCCATGATTGTTGATTGGAAAATGTTGATGGAGTGATTTCTGATGATAATAATGATTTATGATGTTGCTGATAAGATTTGATAGATTGTGATGCATCGAATATCTGTGGTCGATGAATGATATCAGCAGTTCTTGATTGTTTATCATATGTATCAGAAATTAAATGTTGATTTTTTTGGGGAATATTTAATTTTGGTGATATTCTATGATGTGATAATGATACTTGTGATGGTATCAATGAGTCATCATTGGACATCAAAGGAATTTGATATTGTACCTCAGATTTTGATGATTCATCCTAAAAATTTGCTAGGAAAAAATGGTAATTTGACGGAACAACAAAAAAAAAAACAATGATTATGAAGCATTTCCGCCCTGCGTATTGTAATTATATTATTCATAAAAGTGCTTTACAAAAAAAAAAAAAAAAAGTGTTAAAATTTGAATGTGTAAGTTATTTTTAAAAAGTGAGCTGAATATGAATATAGCGTGATAATTAAATATTAATAAGCTTTTAAAAATACATTAATTTTAACTTGAAAATTTGATAAATTTCATATTACATTTTCAATTAATATCAAATTAAAAATTTTTTGAAAATATTACAATATCTTATGTTTCTTTTTTTTTAAAAAATAAAAACTTTCAAATTATATTTCTGTTAAATTGCAAAAAATTCAGCAATTTAATTTTACCAAAATTCTCATTAATGGATTTATTTGCTTTAAAAGTAATTATGGTAAAGTTTGCATACTGATAAGGTGATAAGATGGAAAAAAGATAAAAGGCATGATGAAGTAAATTATTATAAACCAATTAAATTGAATAATTTATTAATTATTTAATAAACAATAATTTCAATGAAATTAATCAAGAAAAATTCATTCATTATAACTCAGTTGAACTAATTTTAACATAAAATTATTGGAAAATAATTGATATACTAATTTCATATTAATAATTTATTGGTATAAATAAAATAAAATTTTTTACTATAAATAAAATAAAAAATATTTTCTTTTCTATTTTACAATCACTTTGACAACAAACTATCAATGAATACTTTTAACAAATATATGGGAAAAAGATTATTTCGTTTTGTCATCATAAAATTTTAATTTCATTCATTCATCGTTTTATGAGGACACATAAACACTAAAATTTGAAAAATTTTAAACCATTAATATTTTCTAATATTCTTAAAATTAATTATCTTTCTATCATTTAATTAATTGTCATTGAACATTTTCAGATTAAATTAAATTTTGCTATTTTTTTTTCTGGGAAAGAAAACTTTTGCGAAAAATTTGTGATAAAGTCAACGATTAAAATATTTTTTTTCAAAAGCATTTTTTTTTTTAATCAATTAGTTTAGTTAAATTTGATAAATATGCTTAATAATCCAAAATCATTTCTTCTCAGATATTATTTGAACAAAATTTTATTCCAAATGTCACTGAAATAATTCTTAGTTTAATTTTTGCTTCTCCATAATTACAAAAGATAGCATACTTCATTAACTTTAGTAAATCGCTCTTTTTTTTTCCACAAAAATAAAACTTTTTAAATAAAATAAAATAATATATGTTAATTGATTAACTGTTTTGCATATCTATCAAATCGGAAATATTGGATGGTCTATTCCGGAAATATAACAATCAATCATATTGCTACAATAAACTACAATAAACGATAAATGATAGTAATTTTTAAGTAATTACTCTTTTACAATTATAGGTTACTTGATACATGATCCATGCATACTTACGATTCTTTCAGCATCGAGCTATAACGGAAGAAAAAAAAAAAGAAAAGAAAATGACAATAAAATTTTTGAAAGATTTTTTAAAAAATTTTAAAATTTTGAAATTTATTCCAGGAAAAAAAAATGACAAAATATCAATTGGGAAATAAAAAAAAAATTTTTTTTTTTGGTTTTTTTTTAAAAAAAAGAGGACAAAAATTATTAACGATATTACTAAACGCCAGCATCACAATATGTCATACAGGTAGCTTACAAACACCTTCATTAACAACATCTAATGGTAAGCAATTATAACTTACCAAATAATGCATGAAATTTTCATTCGGTGGTTCAAATTCAATTTCCTAAATTGTTAAATCAATTTTTAGCTTAATTCTTTTTTCCTCTCTCTCTCTCTCTCCAAAATCGCGCAATTGTTTCAGTTTTAACATTAAAATTATATTTTTATATTTTCAAAATTAACATAAATAAATAGATAGATAAATAAGTAAATAAAATAAATAAGTAAATGAACCGTTTATATAAAAACATTTTGCAATATTTAGTTGTCATCTAAAATGAAAAAAAGAAAATTACAAATTAATTTGTAATATTGATTAAAAATTTCCTGAAATTGTGATATTACTGTTTTTTTCTCTTTTATTGTGATAATTTTTCAATTATATCACAAAATTTTTCTTTTAGCATGAAAATAGCATTAAAAATATTTTTTGTTTTCATTGTCAAAAGAGACAATAAGGAACTGATAATTGTTATCATAATGATAAAAATGATTAAAGAAAAAAATACCATCAAAATGACTTACAACTGTTGGACGACGTTCCATAATTGGATGAAAACCTTCGAGCTGAAAAAAAAAAAAATTTTTTTTTTTTCTTCTTGAAAATTTTTCGATGTTTTTTCATTTGTAATTCTTTTTATGCTTAAGAATTAAATTGAAAGTTTCTTTATTTTAAAGTTAAATTTTTCTCAAATGGCAAATTTTATAATTGAATTTAGGAGAGAAAAAAAAGAGAGAAAAAACAAACTTTAATATCTTTGAAGCCACCATTAACACGTATATATAATTGTTGACTTGATATACAAAAAGTAAGCGAACCTATTGGCATACCATGTGATGCAGTAAATAATTCAATTGTAGTTGGATATACTTGAACCTATAAAAAATACGATAATTAAATAATTAACATTATTTTAATTCCAGTAAGAAAGAATTCCAATTTTACTGTAATTTTATGTATTTTATTAGATTTTTAGATTTTTTTTTGAAAAAAAAAAAAATTGTATTCTAATGAACTATAAGGAAAATATATATATATATAAAATAGAAAAAAAAATCTGTAGAAAATGTGTTAAAAAATTCTTTAGAAAAACTTCTAATTTTTGAAATTAGTTTAAAATTCTTTGTCATATTTTAATTAAACAAAAATAGTCCACTTTGCTTATTCAAACTTGATTAAACATTTAATTTTTTTCATTGCATTAATGACTTTACTTATTGCTTAGTAAAGTATCAATTATTATTATAGTTAATTGATAATTTGAATTTTATTTTCATTTTTTTATTTTATTTTTTTTTTAATATTTTTACTCCTCCAGGTGCAATGTGCGTTGGTTGTGGATAAGCAGCTAATGGTGGTCCAGCCGGTCCAGGATGTCCAGGTGGTCCAGGAGGTCCAGGTGGTCCAGGTGGTCCAGGAGGTCCAGGTGGTCCAGGGTGTCCAATTGGACCCATTGGACCCATTCGTCCTATCTCACCACGTTCACCTGTAAAAGAAACTATAAATTGATGACAAATTCGAATTTTAATATAACGATTTCTACAGGTAAATTAATACTATTAATGATTAACCTCTTTCGCCTTTCATGGCATAATGACGCTGATAAGAATCATATGGTGGTAATTCTTTACTTTCACCTGGATGGCGAATTGGTATTCCTGGGAGACAGTCGCCTTTTTCACCCTGTAATTACTATCGAACATAGATTTTAATTAACTTGATTTTACTTCCATTTCTGGTTAATTTAAAAATTTTCAATTAATTACCTTTAAAAAAAGAACTGAAACAAAAAGTATAGTCTCAAACCTTAATTCGAGGATCGCTAACGATACGTTCGATATCTTCAGGATGTAATCTTTCACAACGACCTGGAACTCCTGGAGCTCCTGGAAATCCTGGTTCTCCGACGCCCCGTGGCCCTGGTGGTCCTCTTGGTCCTAAAAGTTGTATTCATCACTAATGATAAATTCCCAAAATGACTGATATAGAATTAAGAAGTAAGAACTAACCCATTGGTCCAGGTGGTCCTTGTGGTCCTGTGGGACCAGCTACTGTTCGAACTCCTTGTGGTCCCTCTTGTACTATCTGCGTTGATAGCCCAGGTGGTCCTGCTGGGCCAGGTGGTCCTATTGGTCCCATTGGTCCCATTTCTCCCGGCATTCCAGGTATGCCGTCACGTCCATCACGTCCTGGCTGACATTCGATAGGACACTAAAGTTATTACATAGAAAAATCCCTATTTATTAAAATGTAACACTAGTTTTCTTCTTTAATCAAATCTAAGAAACAAAAATTTACTAACCGTTCCAGGTTCCCCTGGTGGTCCCGGTTCACCTCGATCACCTTTATCACCTTTTTCACCCTTTTCTGGCTTAACTGAAAAAAATTTCATTCAGCAAATTTTGTAAACGACAGTGCAAAACAAAAAAAAAGGAAAAAGAAAAAAGAAAAAAGAGAAAAAATGACAGAGCAAAATTCATAAGCACCTAAGACTTCGCCTCATCCAAACAACATTTCAATATTGCGAAGAAATTAAACAGAGGAGAAAAAAGCATTATTGGGTGTAACCTTGGTACCTAGCATCAGTTCTACTGATATCACTGAAGTTATATGATAATACACGATGAAGAATTGAAATATTATACAATTCAAATTTAATTGTACTAGAAATTAAAGTTATTCCATTTCGACTACGTTTATTTTTATAATTTTTTTTTTTTTTATAAAAATATTGTGAATTAAAGAATTACATATACATTAATATTTAATAAATTATTTTTATTTTTCTTATATATGTTATGTAATAAATAAAATAAAAAAAAAAAGGATAAAAACAAAAAGAAATTATATATGTATAAATAAATAAAGAATTTAATCAATTTATTAAATTAATTTATCATTTAAAAGAAAAATTTCTGATATAAAAAATTTTTCAATTATCAATCACAATAAGCAAACAACTAAATACATTAAAATGATACAGCGAGCATGCATTCGCATCTATTATCAAATTATCAGTTCTACTGCATGACCCTTCTATAAAATGTCAAACCATCGGTACGATGACCGCGGTTATTCCAAAATTCGTGAATTTCTGATATTGCTTCCAATGATTGAATTTGTTCCAATATTGGAATAATTGAAATTAGACGTTCCGTAATAGTAGTTTGATGAGAGGGTAAAATTAAACTATCTGTATGTTTGCCAACAATCAACTGATCATTGGAATCAGTGATGTATGAAGAGTGAGAAGATGGTGAGGAAGAGGAACAGGAAGAGGAAGAAGAAGAAGAATTTTGATCATCTGAAAATTATTTACTACGGCAACAGAAAGAAAAGGAAAAACGAATTTTATGCACTATGAAATTTCTCGAATTCATAACATTAAATTTATTGTGAATTTTTAATTTTGAAAAAAAAAAAATTGATGCAAGAAGGTTTATTCTATAATTTTTAATTTAATTTATGCGTAATTCATATTTTAACAAATAGAAAAGTTCAAAATTTATTATAAATTTAACAAACACATACACAAAAAAAAAAAAAGGGAAAAAAGAGTTAGCGATAAAAGCTTAATTCCACTTTATCGTTTTTTTGTTTAGTTTAAAGCATAAATCATTTTCAATTGAAAATTTATGTGCATACAATTTAAAAGAAAAAACGAAAATTTAAGATATGAAAATTAAATAGATTATAATTAATTTAAAAAAAAAAAAAAAAAAAAAAACTTAATATATCTGAAAAGAAAGATTAAATAAAGTAAAAAATTTTTTTTAACATACCACGTGGATAATCTGATGATGTATGTATGGAAGATTGCTCTGGTACTGCAATTGTTGTCTTGCCCGTCTTTTCTACAAAAATTTTACATCATAAATTAGAAAAAAGAATGGCAATGTCAAAAAGTTCAAAGGTCAAAAGGTCACAAAATATAATAATAGTTACAAATAATTGAATAATTGATACAAATGAAAATAAATAAAAAGTGAGGAATATTCAAGAAAACAAATTTTTTCCAAAAAATATTAAATGCATGTAAAAATTATTATAAATTTAATTTCAAAATTTTTACTCATTCATAAATTTATGTTTGAAACTATTCGGTAAGTCAAAATTTCAAAAATTTCATGAAAATTTTCATGGAAAATTCAATATGATAAGTATAGTTTTTCCCAATTTATTATGTTAGTTTTTTTTTTTTTTTTTGCATAAACGAAATTTTGACAGTTTTTTAATTCTTTTTTTTTTTGAAAATTTTTTAACAAACTGTTACAAAACAAAAATGATAAAACTAACCATATTCTTGAAGTTCTTCATCTTGCACACCGCTACCTTCCTGAAAATGAAATCCTGAATGAAAAAATTTAAAAAGTTTACAATTTTGAGAAGAAAAAAGGGATAAAATTAAAATAAATTAACATATTGTGCAAATATTATATAAGTGTTACAGCATTTTATTGTTTGCTGTTACTATTTTGAACTAATTAATTAGAACAATAATTGCAAAAGTTGGCGAACATTGCTTCTGAAATAAGTAATAATCTTTTTTTTTCTCAGTAAAATTTTCCGGATTTTTCACAACATGCGGGGGAAAATGTTTATTTCATTAAAGAAAAAAGCAAATTAATTTGCTAATTAAAATTAAAAACATAAGAAAAATACATAAAAAGCAAACAACATTTTTACAAAAAAATATCAATCACAGAAATGAAGCAACCGAATAATAAAACAAATTAATTTTTACCTTTAGCGACTTCATTTTTCGTCTTTTCCACTAAAGCAAATGTAAATAGTCGTTTAATTAATTAATTAATTAAACTATTTTTTTACATTATTTTCTTTTTTTTCATGTAATTATTTAAATTTTAATACTTTTCCATTTTTTTCACTTTTTTTTTTGACAGAATTTTACACAAAAAATTCCATAAAAAAGAATAGATTTTTGAAAAATTTGACAAATTTATTAAAATTTTTTCAAAAATTTTAATTTTTTTTTAAAAAATTATTTAAAAACCTGAAATGATTGATAATTATTTATAAAAAAAAAAAAATGAAAATGAAAAAAATAACTTACAGTTTCATCATCGCATGCAATTGCAGCATCATTAGGATCATCCGAAATTCTCATTTCTTGAATTGTTCCCTAGAATTTTTGATGAAATTTCAAATAAATCTAAACTATTTGAAAAATTCTCACCCAATCTATTTCATCTTCTTTTCCCATATGATTTTTTCTTCCAATTATATCACTTTTTAGTAATTTTTCATCCATTATTTCATCTGTTTTTGCTTCCAATCCAAATTGATGCATCGTTGGTTCCATTAAATTTTCAATGCTATCTTTTGGTAATATTTCCGGTGCAATTCGAACAATTCCCATTTCCATATTTTCATCATCTTTTTCAGTTTCTTCAACGGAATTCATCTGCTCATAACTATCCGTTGTTTCGATCTCATCAAATGTTGTACCTTTGAACATTCCATTATTATCACTACTACTATCATCAACATCTGCATCTGCATCACTACCCATAATAACAATATTTTCCACTGGTATTCGAAATCGACTATCATCAGTGTTATCACTTTTATCAACATCATCATCATCACCATTATCATGAATATGATAATCTGATGATGTTAACATTTCATCGGAAGCACTTGTTGGTGAATCATAATTTGTTGATGATAATGTATCAAATATCTTATTCATTTCATCCTTATCACTTGTATCATCTGTTGCCCAACGTTTTCTTCGATGATTACTGTCACCATCGTTTAAATTAATCATTCGTTGATTCAAAAATTTCCATTTAATATTGCTGCTACTATCTTTACTATTACTACTACTACTACTATCACCATTGTTATCATTACGAATTGATTGATTAATTAATGATTGGAAAAGATTAGAATTATTTGATATTGAATGAATAGCTAATGAAATTTCTTTATTTACAGGATTATTTGTTGGATATGAGAAATCTATAAAATTTGTCCCAACAATTGATAAATTCTGTTTATCAGTGATAGTGCTATTTGCACTTTCAATAATAATAGTAGTAGCAGTAGTAGTAGCAACAGCAGAGTTTCCTTCATTATTTACTCCTTTTTCATTTTCGTTTTGTTGTTGTCCTTGCTGTTGTTGTTGTTGTCGTTGTCGTTGTCGTTGTTGTCGTTGTTGTTGTTTAAGTGCAGTTAAAATGAAGCCTTCATCAGTGACTAAATCTTCAAATTTTTTTGATAGTCCACTTTTTGCTATTGTACTGACTAATTGATGATAATTGCCAGTATCATGATTCTTTGAATTTTGATTTTTGAACTTATCAATATGAATTTTAAAATCAACAACAGATGAATGATGAATATCTTCCGCTTGTTTTGTATTAATTGTTATAATTAGTGCAGAGAATAGAAAAAATATTCGTAAAATATGATTAGACAATAATAGTAATTGATAAGACTTCATTGATAATAATTTTTTTTGAACAAATTCATTCAATCAATTTTTAAATTTTAATCTTTTTTTTCCTGCCTGGAAAAAGAAAACGAATTGGGAATAAATCAAAAAATTAATGGTACTCATAACATTTTGTCTTTATCAACAAGTTTAAATTGTTAAGATAACGAATGGAAAAGTAATGAGTAAATTAAACTATTTAAAAGACATTCTTAAATATTTAAATTGTTTAAAAAAGCAAAAAAAAAAAAAAAAAAGTTTGCAAGTTCAATTGAATTAACAAAAAAAGGAAAAATAAAAAATAAAAAAATGCATCTAATTTTGTTCAAATATATTCTAAAGTGGAAAGAAAATAGATGGCACAGTCAAGTAATAAATTTTTGAATATAATTTGTAAGATCAATTAAATTAATTTTAACTTAAATTTTAATTAAAAGTTATTATCATTTTAAAAGAAATGAAAAAAACTTTTAAATGAATGATAAAGTTTTTTTACAAAAATTTAATTAAATATTTGCAAAATTCGGCGAGAAAATTAATCGTTCAAAATTTAAACCTAAATGATATGAAATGAAGGAAAAAAATAAGACAATCTAACATTTTTAGAATATTTTTTAAATATTTCACCTCTTTATTTGCATATTTTTGCTCTTTTCTTCTTTTCTTTTATAATTATAAAAATGGATAATATTTCTTGTAAAAAAGAAAAAAAAAACTTTGTTAATTTTCAAATAAATAAAAATTAAAATATATCAAAATTTTAGAGCTTCGCAAAAAATTTTATAATTTATTAAGTTATATTAGTGATAAAATTTATCAGATGGGTAACGAATAAAAATAATCTAATAGTTATTTATGATAAGAATAAAATTAATAAAATATCATTAATTAAATAACTAATAAACTTTTTAATTAATAAAAATTACAAAATATGATTACCTGAACTAATAAAATAAAAGGAAAATTATAAAGCAACAAAATGAATAAAATATCAATAAATAAAGAGAAAAAAAGTTTTTTATTTAATCCAATCTATAAAATCAATTATGTGATGATAAAATTCAAATATTATTAATTAAATGAATAAACAAAAAATTTTCATAATAACAAAATTTTAAAAACAAAATAATAAATGAGTTAAAAAAAAAAGGAAAAGAAAAATCATTGAAGTAAAATAAGGGAATAATAATAGGAAAGAAAAGTGAGAAATGTGAAAAAGTAAAAGAAGATAAAGGAAAATTTAAACTAAATATAAATTTCATTAATTGTATCATATTAAAAAAGACAAAGATTGAATATAATTTTTAAATATGATTTTTTTAAAAAAAAAATTTTTTTTTAAAAAAAATAAAAATTAAATATAATTTTTTATCAATTATATCATATTGAAAAAGATAATGGAAAATTTAAAATAATTAGTGATAAAATTTATCAGATGGTTATGAAGAAATTAGATCAATAGATTATCTATTAGTTAAGTAAAAAATAGAAATTTTTTTATCAATTATATCATTTTATCAAATGTTCAAAAAATATTTTTACATTAAAATAACTAAACAAAATTTATATCCAAAAAAAGAATTTTTGAAATTGTAAAAATACTAAATGCAAATGATAATTAGAAGGAAATTTTAACCTTTATATACATTTATACACATACACATATGTATATAATACTTATACCATTAAAAAAAAAATTTAAACATATGGGATTTTCTTTTTTTTAAAAAAAAAAAATGAAACTACGATGATGTTAAGATGTTATCTTCGTTTAATTACAAAAACTGTGTTTTTTTTCTCTTTCTCTTTCTCTCTCTCTCTCTCTCTCTCTCCTTTTTTTTGTTTGATATTTTTAGAAATGTTTTGGAGAAAAGTTTAAGATATCCTGAATGAATAAGATCGATGATATAGGTTTAATTTGAAGCATTTGAAACAACTTTTAACGACATCATTATTTCAATTTATTGTTTCAGAAAAGAACCAAAAAAAAAGAGAGAGAGAAAGAGAGAGAGAGAGAGAGAGAGGGAGAGAAAGAAGGAAAGAGAAAATGTGAAAAAATAATTAGTAAAAATTAAAATTTAAAACTTTTATGTTACTTATTTGTAGCATTAAACATTTAAGCAATCATTTTTTTTTTTTGTTTTTGTTTTTTTTTCTGTTTGCTATTATAAACACCAAAAATTGAAGCAATATGTTTCAGTTTTATAGATCAAACGATACATTATTTTAGGCAATAAAATTAATTTAAATTAATTATCCGTTTTCCTTTTTTTTTTTTTTTCTTTTTGCTTTTTGCTTTTGCTTTTGCATTTCTTCCATTTTCCACATTTTTGAACCAATTAAAAAAATAAGTTGGAAATTAAAGTATAATTTTCTTTGTTGATTGAACGATGAATTAATTAATTACTTAATTGTATTAATTAGTCAGATACTAATTAAAAATTTTGAAGGAAAAAGAAAAGTTAATTTCAAAAAAGGCAAATAGAAAAAATACGCAATATAATTTGATCTTTAACCAAATATATTAAATAAAAATTTTCCACCTTTGAAGAATTTCTTATCGACCAAAAATTTTCTTAAAATGAACTTAAAACAGATTTGTAATGAAATAAAACTATGATAAAAAAAAAAGTTTTGGAGGAGAAAAATATTTTTTGTTTAGTTTCAGCTCAAATCGGTCGTTTTTCTTATTTAAAACAAAGTATTCAAAAAAATTTTTAAATTCTAACTCAAATATTATCTAAAATTATTTAAAGAATTTTTAACTGAAATAAGCATAAATTCTTGCATTTTTTCATTTATTATTATTTTCTATTTTTTGAACAAAACAGAAATTATAATAATAAATCAGAAAAAATGTTTATGTTTATAAGTGATTTTAAATTTAAACATATAAGAAGTATATTTGATCAAAAAAATTTAATACATTTCAAAAAATTTTTTAAAAATATAGAATATAATTAGAAATAGTTTTTACCTCTTTCACAATATATTTTTCAAAAAAATACATATATACTTAATTAATTAATTTGCTATTTTATCACTTAATTAGTAATTGTTTGTTTGTTTTTGATCACTTTGTTTATTTTGCATTTTGTTTATCGGAATTTCTTGTAAATAATAAATTTCTCTCAACATTCATTCAAATGATACAAATTATTATCTATGAATGATATATTCAAATATCATAAAATTTACATAAAACCCATTATTGTCAATAAAAAAATGAAATTCCTTTGTTATTTATTATTATTTACCAAATATTTATGAAAATTCTCTAAAATAGAAAACAATTCAAATGCCATAAATTATACAAAATATATTTCTATAAACTTTTAAATGCTATCATTTAAATGTAAAAATATAATTCGTTGCACAGAATTAATTGATCTATAATCGATTAATATAATCATTAAACATCCGATATTAACTTTTCCGGATTACAATACGACTTTTCCAAAATATCAAATAATCATAATTCAAATTTAATAAATCCATAAATCGTTTGATTTTGAATTCTACAATTGTTCTTTTTTTTTTTTTTTTTTTGAAAAAAAAGAAAAATCATAAATTATTTCATTTTGCATTTTGCAATTTGTTCTAAAATTTCTTAAAAATTTTGATCATATTTTAATTTGATCAATATTTCAATTTATAATAATAGAAAAATTGAATTGAATTAATACTTTGAAATTATTTGTTAAACTTAAATATTTTAATCGTTTTTTTTTTCTTTCTTTTGTTAAAAGAAAGCTGCCAAATATTGTTTGAAAAATAATTGAAAGTATAGGAAAATTTGCTTAATGGAAGCAATTAGAATGATAAAATGAAGAAAAGGATAAAATATATTTTCAAATAAATCTTCAAATCTTAAACTTTCATTTTATTATTTTTCCAATTCATATTTCATTCAAAATATTTTATTACTCTAAATTTGAGAATGTGACATTTGTTTCAATAATTTATTGTAAGATTAGCTTCAAGTATTATTTAGAAAATAGGAACAGTAAGGAATTCCAATTTAGCAATTTAATTTCTTGGAAAAATCAAAAAATTAGTGGTAGTAGTAGTAGTTTTTTTTTTAAATCTTAAATCAGAATTTGTGAAAAAAAAAATGAAATCAATAATCAATTCTCTTTTATTCAACAATAATTTTGAAATTTTTTATAAAATCAAATTAAAAAAAAAAGGGCTCATTCCTATCAAAATTTTTCATTAAAACTAAATATTCTTTTAAAAAGTGCCAAATAAAGCTAAAACAATTAGATAAGAAGAAATTTTAATGAGTAAAAAGTAGTTAATTAATAGATGGCATTAGAATAAGTAATAAATAAATTAAAAATAAGAAACAAAAAAGCCTAGTTAAAACAAAGAAGCCTAGCTAGGCTCAACTAATTTAATTGTCTTTTTTTTCTCGCTCAATTCATTGGCTAAAAAATTGTTAGCAAATTTAATTTTTCACTAAAATACATTGCTGATAGTTCAAATGAATATTTATTGCCTAAAAAGCAAATGAAAATAGCACAAATTTGAAAAAAAAATATGCTATATGAATATTTTAGGAATTAAATTTGCCATAGAAATTTTTGATTTTTTTACTTCTTTAAAATATTAAGTAAAAAAGAAAAGAGAAGAAAAAAGGGAGCTAAAATTAGATAAATTGGATTTCAAATTTTGTTAATTCGAATTAAAAGGAAAAGAGTTAAAGATTAATAAATTTTACAATAAAAAATTGCATCTTCGGCTGTAATACTTATATGAATGCACATATATAATTTTGGAATTATATTTTAAATTTAAAACAATTCGAAATTACAATAAATTTGTAATTAATATTTTAATTTGTAAAAATTGTTATTTCATTTTTGTATTATCTTGCCCATTATTAGTATTTAAGTTTTTAATTTAAAAAGACTCAAACTTATTTTTTTAAGTAATTTTTTTCATTTTTTTTTTCAGTTTGCAGTTCGAAATTTTCATTTTTTTTTCCCATTTTTATTCTATTTCAC